CTCCTCCCCTGTCTCCTTCCTTCCTTCTCTCCCTCCCCTTCCCCCTTAATTTCCTGTTTCTCCTATTACCTTTCTCTCTTTTGCCTCTTTCTTCTTTAAGAATCCCTCTTCCCTGCTCATGTCCTAGGCCTGCCATCTGTCCTCATAGCCACTATTTCATCCCTGAATGGCCCTTGAGTTGACATATCAGCATGCTGTCTATGCTATACCACAGGGATGCCGATTCAGAAAGCATCTCCATGCTTGCCCTAGAAAGGCTGAAGACCCTTCACTGGGTTAAATGCAGAAAAATATACCCTAGTAGCCACGAAGAAAGTTACATCTTAAAATCTCTGACCTTAGACCCAAGACTCTGTGGATCTTGGTTCTACCACATTATGATCCAATAATTCAGGAATGAAGCCAATATTTCCTAGGTGTGTATCTTTCAGCTATAAGGTGGAGACAGAAGCATTGCAAAAATGAACAAGATTCTTATCCATCCTACAGAGGATGTGGTGTGAGTGGAGAGTATCTAGGACCATTGCTGCTTCTAAGACCAGGGGAAGGGGTGGAGTGAAGTAGTGATAACCTATAGAGCCAACTCCATCAGGCTCCAGCAGATATTCCTGCTTCAAACTAAATTGCTTATTCACTGCCCTTACTATGCCACACATACATGCATGGAAGTGACCACACTTGCCATGACAGAGCTGGAGAAATGCAGAGCAGGCTGCCCCAGACAGGAGTTACCACACAATACCCCTGGCCTGACTCCACTGGAGGTTTGTGTGATGGTTTTAGTGAGCAGCACCAAGACCAGGGAAACAATTAATAGTAATCTACTTATATAAATTAGCCTGTTTCCTTTTGAAAGTTACACATTATAAATAACATATGGCTTGTTGTGGGTGGGTGGGGGGGTATAGAGAGGGAAACAAGTAGACATTTGAAAATATGTCAGCCGCACCCCCTAGGAATCAGTCACTATTCATCTGTGTATCTTTGTATCTCCTTCCATAGTTTTCTTGCATACTTTTAGGCTTTTCAAAAAAATTACGATCATTTAATTTTATATCCTGCATTTTGCTTTCAACATTATAACATGTGTTTCTCCAACATTGCAAACTGTTCATAATTACAAATGCTTTTAATGGGTTTGAAATATTTCTTTGATGGCTATAACATTATTTGCCTTTTCTTTTTACTGAAAATATGGGTTTGTTCAAATTCCTGTATTTTTTTTTTTTTTTTTTGGTACTGGGGATCAAACTCGGGACCTGCTTTCAAGGCAGGTGCCGGAACCACTGAGCTAAATCCCCGCCCCCAATTACTGTATTATAAATACTGGCATGATGACCATCTCAGGGCCTAAAGGTGAATAAGAGTTCCTTGAGATTCTAATATGTGTCAGACCTTGGGCTGAATCCTATGCAGAGTGTATATAGTTCCTGTTTTCAAGAAATTTACAATCCAGTTTTGGAGATAAAAACGTATTCCTAGGTTAATCCTGAGCTCTTTTGCCCTTTAAGATTAGTAAAATGACTGTGTGTTATACTATTGAATTAAAAAAGATTCTTTTATAAAAAGCAGAACCAAGAAAGAATATATATGTTAATTATAATTGGTATGTAGCACATACCTAGACTGAGCAAGACAGCAACTGTCAGGGGACGATTAAGTTTAAACAATAATTGGTCTAATTTGAGTTTGAACTTTGTCTGGTATCTAATAACTGATACCAAACTATATATATTGCCCCTATATGATTTAAGTGGTATGATAGAATTGTTTTTCATGTATCCCAAAATATAGGAACATCCTTTAAGAACCTGTGCATTAAATTTCAGCCAACAATGCTGGCTGGTTATTTGAGCTGCATTTCTGATTTTTTACAGTTACTTTAAATTGCATAAATTGCATTTTTCCATGAGAACTGTGAAGTTCATAGAAATAGAAGAGATCAAAAAAGAATGTTACAGGCTGAGGAGGGCTGGGGAGTGTAGGTCAGTGGTAGAACATGTACTCAGCATCCATGATACTTTTGGGTTCAATCCTCAACACCGTCCATAAATGTCATAACTCTGTGTGTGTGCATGTGTGTGTGTGTGCATGTGTGGAAGATGGGGTGCTACTACAGAGCAGGGGTGAGGTAAACACAAGAAGTAAAATAGAAATAGCCTGTTTGAAGGATTTTTTTCAAACACCAGGATTGTAAGATACTAGAATGAGTGTGCACATCAGAGAACCAAGTACTTTCAAGCACAAGCATTGGAAATGATAGAGTAGAACATGGTGTGGTGTGCGTGCCTGTAATCCCAGCACTCTGGTAGGCGGAGGCAAGAGAATTGCAAGTTCAAGCCCAACCTGGACAGTGTGGCAATTTAGCAAAACCTTGCACCAAGATAAAAAATTAGAAAGAGGGCCGAAGATTTAGCTCAGTGGTGCCACCGCCTGCCTCAAAAGCGCAAAGTCCCAAATTTGATCCCCAGTACCAAAAAAAAAAAAAAAAAAAAGGCTGGGATGTAGCTCAGTGCAAAGGCCCTGGGTTCAATCCCTAGTACTACACACACACACACACACACACACACACACACACGTAATGGTAGAGTAGTAGAGACTTCCTTAGAGTCTTGGCAGAATGATTCAAATGCTCCTTCTCTGTTGTGAACAGGGATACATCTCAACATGTGTTCTCTTCTTTCAGATCGATGACCCCACCAGCAGCCTTGTGGAGGTGATTAATGAGGCTGAGGCCATCGCCTCTGTGAACAATCTGGGAAGCAAACAAGCCTTGAATACAGATTACCTTGATTCTGATTATCAAAGAGGACAGCTGTATCCGTTCTCCCTTAACAACGATCCCCAGATGGCCACATTCACTCTCACCAATTCCGCTCCAATGACCCAGTCCTTCCAGGAACGGTGGTACATGAATCTCAACAGCCTCATGGACAGGGCATTGATTCCTCACTGTGGCAATGGGGAAGACCTGTATCTCATCACTGGCACATTGCCTTCAGACCACAAAGTTAAAGACAAAGTGACAGTCCCTGAGTTTGTGTGGCTGGCGGCCTGCTGTGCTGTCCCCGGAGGAGGCTGGGCCATGGGCTTTGTCAAGCATACCCAGGACAATGACATCATAGAAGATGTGATGGTGAAAGACCTTGAGAAACTGCTTCCATCGAGCCCTCAGCTGTTTCAGAACAACTGTGGTGAGACTGAGCAAGATACAGAGAAAATGAAAAAGATTTTGGAAATGGTTAATCAAGTCCAGGATGAGGAGCGAAAGGTGCAAACTCAAGAAAGCTCTATTCCCCTCTCTAGCACCCAGAGCAAGACAGCTACCGTGTTGGTGCCAGAGGCACCTGAGGAAAGTAGCAGCTTTTTGGGGAAATTCCTGGGTTTCATCGCTACCCCATTCATCAAGCTTTTCCAATTAATTTATTACCTTGTGGTAGTAATCCTAAAGAACATTGTCTGTTTATTGTGGTATGTTACCAAGCAGGTGATTAATGGTATAGGAAGCTGCCTTTACAGCCTGGGCTCTGCCACTGTCTCATACTTTGTGGCCATTGGAGAAGAGTTGGTGGGCATACCCTGGAAGGTGCTCAAGGTCACGGGAAAAATCATCAGGGCTATTCTCCGGATCCTTTGCTGTCTACTGAAGGCTGTTTGCCGTGTTCTGAGCATCCCTGTCCGAGTCTTTCTGGATGTGGCCACTTTCCCTGTGTATACCATGGGAGCAATTCCAGTTGTTTGTAAGGACATTGCCGTTGGCCTGGGTGGCACCATCTCTCTGATCTTTGACACTGCTTTTGGCACTATGGGTGGCCTATTTCAGGTTGTTTCTAGTGTCTTCAAGCGGATTGGTTACAAGGTTACTTTTGACAATTCTGGAGAATTATAGAACTCAAAAAAACTAATACTGTACAGTCACAGTGAATTTGATTTTTTAATAGAGAAAGCTGGGATAGTTTGTCTTTAAACTAGGTTTCTATTCACTGTCAATTATTATTATTTTTAGGCCTTTGTTGGGGATGTTTGCCTGTTTTTTGCAAAGGAAGATGGTATAATTTACACTCAACATAAAAATGCTCAGGATGGGATTTAGTAGTCAGGTGTGCACTTCCAGTTATATGTGCAAACTTGCAAGCCACTCTGATACAGAGTGAAACAATGGAAACATTCTGGTGTCACCTGTGATAATTAAAAATTACAACAGAGGGAGGAATTAGAAAGAGGACAATTTTAAACTAAAGGGTTCCTGAGAAAATGAGAAAGAAATTTTGTTCTTCCCATTATGCTTTGCGATTTAAGACAAAACAGATCTAAATATCCTTGGCCAATTTCTTAGCATTTGCTTCTCTTCTCCCCTAACTCAAGTGACCTTGGTGAAGTGCAGGTGATGCTTGTCTGTTGAAATAACTTTTCTTTGGATACGAACTCTGCTATAGCTCTTAGCTTTCTGTGGTTCTCAAGGACCTGTTAGATTTTTATTTTCCTCCAAAGTTGAATTTTGCTGCATTTTTCTTTTAGGTAATAATAAGCATTTTATGCCAAATGTGGCATAACAAAGTTTGAATCCAAGTTTGAGTGGAGTAAATAGTCCTTTCAGCTGTAAAAAGGGAATGCAATAGTAATAGCCCTGCTCTTGGTAGGCAAAAGACATCCTTAGCTAAGCCTGGATTAACTTGCCATATTAAATCACTGGCTGACAACTGAGCTCAAAGATCTACATGTTAAGGCTAATATGAAAATTTATATTCTGCAACATACAAAAATCTTTCTGATGCATCAAATAAGTTCCCAATACAGTATAACACTCTGACTTCTATCCTTAAATGATTATTTTGGTGTGACTATATAGGAAAGAGACATAAAATTAAAAATATTCTGGCTGTGTTAGAAAAAGATATGTGTATAAAAATATTTAAGAATCATTCTTAGGAGCTTATTTTTATTCTGAGCCTATAAAACATAATTATTAATGAAAGTTAAATTTGAGACCTTATTGGCAACTTTTTGATCAAGCACTTGGCAATTTAGAGTTTGCACTAAAAATGATAAGAAGAGGAACCAAATTTTGCTTTGCCTTCCACAGCTGGGATGGAAACATTTGAATTTTTCTAAATGATCTGAAGGGTTACTGTGAAGTAGGAAAGGGGTGTGTGGATACTGATCTTGGAGGCATAGCCCATGATGCAAAAAATTGAGGGTCCAGAAAGGCAATAAAGAGAGAATAATGTGTTAACCATTTCCTTGGGGGCTGGTGGATGAGAAGAAATATGAGTGTAACAAGAGTTACATTTTGCAGGAAAAATTGTTTGCCTTGCCCCCAGAGTGGAATAGCAGCCAGCAAGTGGGCATCTGACTCAGTTTGTGATGTAAATCTGGGAATGTGAGCACCAGACTTGTCTAGGCTGATAAATTGAGGTGCATCAATTTATCCAAGAATCCTAAGCAGTATTTACTAATACTTTTCTTTGAGTAAATGAAGAATGAGGGTTTGCTTTGGGGCTGATGGATCAAGAATGCTGCTAGATGAAAGAAAGGGAATCTCAGAAGTGACCAGAGCGACAGTCTGGGCATCCCTCATTTGATAAGGAACCTGAGGTACAGAGAGGCAACAGGCTTGGCCTCAGTCTCATGGCTGGTCGAGAGCAGGTCAGGAGCCAAAGCCCCCATGCCCCCCACACACCTGGGATGTCAGATGTGGAACTGTGTGCTGCTGCCATAGACCTTAAGCCAGATATTTTTCATGCATCAAACAGACTCTGGGCCCTGTATAATCAATTGGATATAGCGTGTGTGATGAAATGATCAGCATTCATACAACATTATGCTTACTGGATTGCATGTAATCTCTTTTCCCTCATTGTACATATTTACATTCTGAAAGGCCCACTGAGGGTATCCATGGCAGGTTGAACCTCTAAGCAGTATGAAAGGAGCAAGGCATCCAAACTCCTTTGTGAGAATCATTTGGAAATGTCATATCCAGTTGTTCAGTGTCTTTATTTAGTCTTGTGTGGTCATTTTGGATATCTGGGAAATGATAATTAAGCAAAAAAAAAACAGCCATAAGTTTAGGTGGCTGAGACCCAGCACTGTGGACCACAGTGTTAGCTGTGCCTCTGGTTCATTGGAACTGGCTGCACTGGGCTTGAAGCCCCACCAGTCACTGGATTACTGGTCTACTTACTTGGGTCTTTGAGGTGGAATTTGGGTTGCTGAACCCCCCATCTCTGGCCTGCAGATTTTGCTGTGGCTCTGTTACTTTCTTAGGCCCTTGGAGAAGTCAGACAATTCTTCTTCCTTTATGGAGCTGGTTTTCTAGTCTATTGATCATGCACACCTTTGGACTCCACTTTTCTATTGTGCCTTTTCCATGTTGGCTTCCTACTCAGTGTCAGCACTTTCACTTAAATGCAGACTAAGGAGTTGGGAGAAGCGGTAGCTGATGTGAAGCACTCTTCATTCTTCAATCACTCCTTTATCTACCAAACATGCATTTGGTCATCAGGGGTGCAGAAATGAAAAATCCATGTGGATTCTATGTGGTGGAAAGAATGCATGGCTAATCCATATTTGTCATGCATCATGGTAAGTGCTACCTTAAAAGTACTATCACCATGCTGCCTGGAGCACGTGGCAGTGGTGGGCAAAACCATGGAAATTAAGGAACCCTTAACAGAGTGGGACAAAAGTAATTTGGCATTTTCAGACTATGTACAATGCTGTGTACCTTGCAGATGCTCAATAAAGTAATTATTGACAACTCATTAGCAGTTCTGTAAAATATCTAAAAGGGGAGAATCTGAATGGTTGAAATGAAGTTTGGGGAATATCTGTGATTTTTTTTCATTCTTTTCTTGATACAGATTAACTACAGCAATTTCCGGTCCCATCTGTTTTTGTTCATTTAAAGAAAATATTGAGTCATAAATGAGAAAATAGAAGTTCGGATCAGTGAAACAGGGCTTAGAGCTACTTTTCGATGTTATTCGTGTACTTAAATCAACACCAAAGGTTTATTGCTTCACTGAATCTGAATCACACAGAAAATTATAAAAACACTCTTTATTTGTTTGTTTTTCCACCAAGAAACCCCACAGTGTGAGAAATAACAAGCAGTCACTGACGGGAGGGCTGGGTCATCTTTGTGGTCTTTAGTAGGGTGCCCCCTTGTGGGTGAGGGTGGCAGTAATTCTTGCCCACCTTCCCAGTGCAGGCAGTCTTAAGTGAGGGTGGTGAAGCATTTTGCCCAAGCTCACCACATATAGTGTGGACTGCTTGCCTTTCATAAATGAGTTCTCTGACTTCTTATTGACTTTTTCGGTAGATATTTTCCCTGACTCAGATAAGCAAACCTAGCTTTCAACTAAGGAAGTGTTATAACCATTGTCACTTTCCCTCGGTTTCAGTGTTTAAGAGTACACAGTGAGATGCTCTCAAGAGGTAGACAGAAGGTCACTTCTGGAGACTCCTGTTGCCAAGCTTTAGAGTCAAAGCGACAAAGGCTTGAATCCTGGCTTCTTCACTTACTAATTGTGTGGCTTTGGGCATGTTACTTGTGTGGCTTCCTCATCTATAAAATGAGGCTAAGTATAAATATTTACCTATGAGAGTTGTTATGAGTGTTAAATGAATTTATGAACATAAGACATTCATTAGTGTGCCTGGCCCGTGGCATTACTCAGCAAATGTTCATTGTTGTGATAGCTGCTGTTGGCAGTAATATTCACCTATCTTGAGTACAGTTAGCTAGGAGTTGCCGTAAAGTTCAGGATATTCTAAATCAAAGTTGGAAGGACCAGTGTCAAGTACAGTCTGAGTCCATATTGCAAATGAAAGTGAAGGAAGCTAAAACCTCACCAGCAGTGTCAATGAATCTGAATGATTAGGTACAGATTGGACCAGGAGTCTGGAAAAAGTAGTGTCAAAAAACAGGAACTCAACATATTGCTAGTGCTGTTTTAGAAGGGGAGTTGAGTCTTTCTGATCTTATCTTACACCACGATTTTATGACAGATTTTGTTTCCCAAAAACCCTAATACTTGGAAGAGAGTAAAGTGTACAAAGAGCATATACTCTTTAGAGCTGAAAGGATGGTAGCCCTTACTGTAAATCATTCTTTATTCTTCAGTCTCACATTAAGACAGTGTGAAGTAGTCTCCAAAAGATTAATTGTAGGACCGGGGATTTAGCTCAGTGCTTCTGGTGCCTGCCCTTCAAGTGCAAGGTACCAAGTTTTATCCCCAGTACCAAAAAAAAAAAAAAAAAAAAAAGAAAAAAAAGATTAATTGTTCCTGGGGGGATTGATAAAATAGAATTTCTGAACCCTCATATTTGACCCTTATGCTCACTCACTTTCTCCCCACCAACCCACACTCACCAGGTACAGTCTTCAGGAGGTCCTTTCTTGGTGCCATCTTTGGGTTATCTCATCCCACCTACAATACCTATATCCAAAGCAGATGCTGACAATACCTTGGACATTGGAGGCTTGGGTATGATCTAAAACCACATGGGGTCACTGTAAATAGCATAATAACATATCATTTTTAAAATGAGAAGTGTTTGAAAAGAATTTATGCTAAACAGATGCATTGAAAGATAATTTTGACAATTATGATAGTTGCAGGAGTGTATCTATTCTTTGTGTCCTGACCTGGCCCATTTAATGGATCAGCCTAAGGCAAATATTAAGAAAGTCACACTGGCTGATGCTCACTGCTCATGGACTTAGCTCCTGAACCATCCTTTTGGTGGTGAGTTCCACTCTCTCCTGGCCTCCTTGCTAGGCATCATCTCATTTCTTTACTGGTTCCCACTCCAAGAAGATCATGTACTAGGTGACTTTTGAGTGTTTAAGCCTTATATTTTCAGGACTAGTCTTGCCTCTTTTATCTTGATACAGTTACACTCCCAGAAAGATGAGTTTTCTAACCCAGAGCCCCTTTCCTTATAGACAGTGTTGAGGCAGCCCCAGCTACCAGAGATCTTCCCCCATGAGCATCTTAATCACAATCAGAAGGCTCTGGGTAAGGGGAGGATATCAAGTTTAACTTACTTATGCTGAAGATGACAATTTTTAGAATTTTTGCATGAAATTCATATGTTACCTAGAAAAATTCAAGGAATAAGAATTTGAAGAGAAAAAATTTTATTATGTTCCATTGTCATGGATGTTTCAAAAATGGAAAATACTAAGGCACTGAAGGGTTAACAAGGCTATACAATTAGCTTTAGGCTATACAATTCATGTTATTTTTAAAGTATAGAAAAATTCAATTTATGTTTAATATTTGATGGGTGAAGAGTTGGGGTGAAGATGTCATGAATCAGCTCTGATTAATTATTCTGTGTCTTTAAGCTCATTCTAAACATAAGCATATTTTGGATACTCCTTTCCCACCTGAAAAAGTTCATTGACTTCTATTTCTTCTGAAGATCGCAGTCTCATCCATATAAGGTCCTAGTGTTTGCAGAGGATTCATCTGATTTTTCAAAATATTTCATAGACCAGAATATTGGTAGGTATACCCATAGACAGCCCAACTTTGACAGCTGGAGTCTAGGGTTTGATTTTTTCTTACGTGCAAAATGGCACAGTCACTAAGAGAGACCAAAATTTAGTGAAAAACAGATAAACTTTATGAATGCAAAGAAAGTTCCACCTAGTACTTTATTGATCAATGCTATTTCTGATTTGGAACATCATTATATAGAACCATCCTGAAGAGGTAGGATTTCAGGAGACACCTTTGATTAAAAGAGCTTCCAGAATTTCTGCATCTTTGGTAGGATAAAAGGGCTCAAGATCAGATTTGATATGGTCCTGCTTGACCCTCTTTTCTTGTTTTGCAAATATACAAATGATAATCTCTGGGAAAAGAGCAGTAATTTATAAGTGGAAAGTTCTGGAAGCTCTTGTTATCAAATGGCCTTTCCTGGAACACTACCTCTTTAGGATGGTTCAAGATAATGATGTTCCAAGTTGGAAATAGTATTGATCAATAAAGTACCAGGTGGAACTTCTCTTTGTACTCATAAAGTCTTTTTAAAAAATCTGTTCTTTTTTTTTTTTTTTTTACTAAATATTGGTCTAAGTAACTGTGTCATTTTTGCTCTAAAGTGATTCTATAAAGAAGTATAGTATAAGATTTAGGTTTTTGTTTTGTCTGTCTGTTGGTCTGATTGTTTCGTTTTTTTTCTTTAGGCAGGGTCTCCCTTTGTAGTTCAGGCTGGCCCTGAACTCACTATATAGCCCAGTCTGGCCTCAAACTCACAGTGATCCTCCTGCCTCAGCCTCCTGAGTGCTAGGATTACAGGCTTGCCCCACCACACCCAGCTCAGTCTGATTGTTTTTAAAACCATGCTTTGGATTCTGTAGACCTAGGCTCATGTCTTAATTCTCTTGTGACACTTTTGAGAGTCCAAATCTTCGTAAGCTTTCTATAAGCTTCTATATTGAGAATGATACAAATAACAAATACATAGGTTTTTGTGATGATCAAATGAGATAATTTGCTTGTAAACTGTAAAATACAGTATCATAGAAATAGAAAAGTTCATTATTATAGGAGGATCCAGGGTTAATTTGATTTCTTTAAAAATTGGTACATAGCTCATTTTCAAAAGGTGAGTATATTCAAATGAAAAATATCCAGAGAGCATAAATGTCTTAGCCAAAATTTGGATTCAATAGTAAATGTTGACTATTATGCCTTGGCTGTGAAGTTAAGATCCCAGAATTCTCCCTCTCCTTAAGTCCTGCTTTCTTAAAACCCAATGAATTCTCTTGGAAATAGGCTGCTCTACATACTTCATCCTATTTGCTTTTCTGTATGAGTCAGTTGAGTCCCTGGAAAAATAGACATTGAAATGAAAGACAACTTATGAGCATATGCGTCATGTAATAAGAGCCACACAAGAAATAAGTGCCAGAGAATGAAAAGTCACAAAGGAGTCTCAGAACTAGCAGAAGCCATGAGACTCCCCTGGAAGCCTATGAGCTGAAGGCCACCCCAAGCCTGCCCCTGAGAACACCAGACAGTAGCTCCCTGGATTATGTTTCTAGGCGTTGTAGTAAGTGTGTGTTTCCCACAGAAGATTCTGGTTGGATTTTATCCACTTATCTCCCCTATCTGAGAGTTACTAAAAGTCAGAGAAATCCCCTTGGACATTATCATGAAGGACAGTGACTGATTAGTCCTGAAAACCACCACTACCATCATCATCATTGTCATCATTATTATTGTCAGCATTTCTTTCTCTCAGATTTGTAGAATTAGCAGAGTTACCTGAGGGCATTTAAGAAATTCTGGTAATGCTCCTTGGTCCCAAATAACTCCCCCTGCATCCTGCAGTGTTGCCAGAAATCTCAACACTTGTCACTCTTCCTGTAGGCTATAAAAACAAATTGTCTGAAGAGAGTTAATATATAAGTATATCAAAACTAGCACCTTAGAGTAAATCATTTTATGAACTCCTTCTCACTAACTGGTAACCACTCCTACACACAACAATTGCTTTGACAAGTAAGGGGTGTGGTGCAAAAACTGTACTGAGAGTCAGGAGGTGCCTACCTTAGACCAGGATCCCATAAGCCTGGAGCTTTCTTTACTCAAGGATTGGGAACACACTGAGAAGGCTTTTGAGACCTTTGAAATAAAGCCAGTAGATTTTTGTCTAAATGACCAATATATGATCATCCTGCAATGGATACACCTGAAAGAAACAAGGCTGGGGACGCATTGCATTTATAGCCAGTGGTGTG